GGGGCATTCGGGGACAGGCATGCAAGCGTGGAAACCCGGAGCAGGCGCCGGAGAGACGGAGACGACGATGAGGGGGAGAGAGCACGTGCAGGAGGCACCGCAGAGGCATCGGATTCATGGGGCGGGGGGGGGCAACTGAGGAGGGTAGATCTAAAGTGGTGTGCGGAGAACACGGGGTTGGTTGAGTTGGTTGGAGCTGAAGGAACGAAGAGGACAGGAGCCGGAGACAAGGAGCCTGGGACCTCGCCCTACACACCTCGTCCTCCCCAGCGGTGTTGGCTCGCGGAGTATTCAGTGACAGGCTAGCGGAGTAGTAAGTGACAGGCTAGTGGAGTATTCAGTGACAAGCTAGCGGAGTATTCAGTGACAGGCTAGCATAGTGACAGGCTAGTGGAGTATTCAGTGACAGGCTAGCGGAGTATTCAGTGACAGGCTATTGGAGTATTCAGTGACAAGCTAGCGGAGTATTCAGTGACAGGCTAGCGTAGTAAGTGACAGGCTAGTGGAGTATTCAGTGACAGGCTAGCGTAGTGACAGGCTAGTGGAGTATTCAGTGACATGCTAGCGGAGTATTCAGTGACAGGCTAGTGGAGTATTCAGTGACAGGCTAGCGGAGTATTCAGTGACAGGCTAGCGTAGTAAGTGACAGGCTAGTGGAGTATTCAGTGACAGGCTAGCGTAGTGACAGGCTAGTGGAGTATTCAGTGACATGCTAGCGGAGTATTCAGTGACAGGCTAGTGGAGTATTCAGTGACAGGCTAGCGGAGTATTCAGTGACAGGCTAGCGTAGTAAGTGACAGGCTAGTGGAGTATTCAGTGACAGGCTAGCGGAGTATTCAGTGACAGGTTAGCGGAGTATTCAGTGACAGGCTAGCGGAGTAGTAAGTGACAGGCTAGTGGAGTATTCAGTGACAGGCTAGTGGAGTATTCAGTGACAGGCTAGTGGAGTATTCAGTGACAGGCTAGTGGAGTATTCAGTGACAGGCTAGTGGAGTCGTAAGTGACAGGCTAGTGGAGTATTCAGTGACAGGCTAGCGTAGTGACAGGCTAGTGGAGTATTCAGTGACAGGCTAGTGGAGTATTCAGTGACAGGCTAGTGGAGTACTCAGTGACAGGCTAGCGGAGTATTCAGTGACAGGCTCGCGGAGTATTCAGTGACAAGCTAGTGGAGTATTCAGTGACAGGCTAGTGGAGTATTCAGTGACAGGCTAGTGGAGTATTCAGTGACAGGCTAGTGGAGTAGTAAGTGACAGGCTAGTGGAGTATTCAGTGACAGGCTAGCGGAGTATTCAGTGACAGGCTAGCGGAGTAGTAAGTGACAGGCTAGTGGAGTATTCAGTGACAGGCTAGTGGAGTATTCAGTGACAGGCTAGTGGAGTATTCAGTGACAGGCTAGTGGAGTAAGAGAGCGTTCGGAGCAAGAGTGCGTTGTGTAAAGAGTGAGGAGCATCCGTGTGGGATGCGATGTAATAAAGTGACAAGGAGAAATGCTGACAGTGTCCGTGTGAATACACCACTACAATTGTGTAGCGAGTTCAAATGAGTCGCAGACGTACTCCTTGGAGGCAACACATTTATTGATACCAACACAAAGGGGTAACTGCCCCTTCACCAGAAAACAACCGATGGTGGACCACCAGGCTAACCACCCTATGGTGGTGGACCACCAGGCTAACTACACCCTATGGTGGTGGACCACCAGGCTAACTACACCCTATGGTGGTGGACCACCAGGCTAACTACACCCTATGGTGGTGGACCACCAGGCTAACTACACCCTATGGTGGTGGACCACCAGGCTAACTACACCCTATGGTGGTGGACCACCAGGCTAACTACACCCTATGGTGGTGGACCACCAGGCTAACTACACCCTATGGTGGTGGACCACCAGGCTAACTACACACTATGGTGGTGGACCACCAGGCTAACTACACACTATGGTGGTGGACCACCAGGCTAACTACACACTATGGTGGTGGACCACCAGGCTAACTACACCCTATGGTGGTGGACCACCAGGCTAACTACACCCTATGGTGGTGGACCACCAGGCTAACTACACCCTATGGTGGTGGACCACCAGGCTAACTACACACTATGGTGGTGGACCACCAGGCTAACTACACACTATGGTGGTGGACCACCAGGCTAACTACACACTATGGTGGTGGACCACCAGGCTAACTACACACTATGGTGGTGGACCACCAGGCTACCTACACCCGATGGTGGTGGACCACCAGGCTAACTACACACTATGGTGGTGGACCACCAGGCTAACTAAACACTATGGTGGTGGACCACCAGGCTAACTACTGTACACCCTATGGTGGTGGACCACCAGGCTAACTAAACACTATGGTGGTGGACCACCAGGCTAACTACACCCTATGGTGGTGGACCACCAGGCTAACTACACACTATGGTGGTGGGCCACCAGGCTAACTACACACTATGGTGGTGGACCACCAGGCTAACTACACCCTATGGTGGTGGACCACCAGGCTAACTAAACACTATGGTGGTGGACCACCAGGCTAACTACACCCTATGGTGGTGGACGACCAGGCTAACTACACCCTATGGTGGTGGACCACCAGGCTAACTACACGCTATGGTGGTGGACCACCAGGCTAACTACACCCTATGGTGGTGGACCACCAGGCTAACTACACCCTATGGTGGTGGACCACCAAGCTAACTACACACTATGGTGGTGGACCACCAGGATAACTACACCCTATGGTGGTGGACCACCAGGCTAACTACACACTATGGTGGTGGACCACCAGGCTAACTACACCCTATGATGGTGGACCACCAGGCTAACTACACTAAATACACTGGCAGTAGCTACAACGGACAGGACCCCAGCTTGGGTCCAGGTCCACGTGTTGGTGACTCTTCACGGACGTCGAACGTAGATCTTTAGGATGACAAGAGCAACGTGCAACCCCGGTCCCTCTGGGGACCCGGCCTATATCCTCACTGGTCGTGGCTTGCTCCGCCCTTGGCCACGACCACCTTCTCGAATCCTCGAGCGCAGGGGTGGGGAATGTCCGGCCCGCGGGCCGTATAAGGCCCGCGATATCATTTGTTGTGGCCCTGCCAAGGCAATCGCAGGCGGGACTCGAAATTCAATAAATCTAGGAGCAAACCTGGAAAAGCAGTTGTGAGTAGCAATAACATCATCAATAACAGCTAACATCATCACACGCCTCGCCAAAGAGAAGCAGTTCCAGCCATCACAATAGGGGGCGAGTTAATTAAATGTTTGACCAAATATAACAGGCTAATTTTTAAGTTGATCATTTTGTATGGACCGCGAATGATGTTATATAAATATCCAAATGGCCCTTTGCAGAAAAAAGGTTCCCCACCCCTGCTCGAGCGGGATCTCACCCTGACACGTGACCACCCCGAGCCCCCACTTAGGGCCCCTGTGTAGACTTTACCAGTCACGTGTCCTCCGGGGTCAGCCAGAGTGCCATGGCCTATAGTAACCCCGTTCCGTGGCTGACACTCTCACACCCCATCCTGTAGGGGTCGGCACTGCACGCCGAGCGTGGTGCCACTCAGCGCTATGATTCAGCGCTGACCGAGCCCCTCTCGGGCCGCTACTACACCCACACCCACGTGGTGTCCGCGATGTGAGTACATCGCACGCCGTGCCTCTCTGGGGCCAGCATGACACAGTGACGTCCGCGATGTCACTACATATGTATAAGTAAATCATGCAATTCCTATCGGATTCACGCTCGCTCTTGTGAGACAATGGAGACCTTACCCCATAGTGTTCTTCAGTGCACGCATGTAAAAACACCCCTTGCAGGCGGTGTGGCAGCCCGCACACACTGATGCCTTATCGGGGAAAGTGGCCCCCCGCACCCCTCTGAAAATTCGTGAAGAGCACTGCCTTACAGATTTAACCAGACATCTATAGCTTGCCCATGAATCAGAGATAAGGGCAGTTAATGTATGTTTGGTCCCAAGTTCCAGAGCTAGTAAACTTAATTGGGCCTCCCCAGCTTGTCCATCAATGTAATGGAGTGCTCTGGAGTCAGGATGTATCCATCTCTCGAGTCGAGTTAGACTCCTGTGGTCTCAGGTTTTTTTTATTTTACCAGGTAAAGCCCACCGAGCTATATTGCGCTTTTTCAGAAGCGACCTGGCCACAAATGAGCCCAATTAAGCGGCTTATCATCACGTGGAATCTTCTGGAATAAACTGGATGTACTCCCACCTCTTCCAGGTCTGGCTAATGTGAAAGAAGAGGCCACTATATAATCTAGGAGGCGTCACGAGACCTCCTTTGCCAGTAGCAAAATATGAGAAGAGGTTTTCCCCTTTTTTTCTGGCAACAAAACAGGTTAAATCAAAACAAAACAGGTGTTTAGATGTTAAAACACCAAACTGAAACCTTTTACAAGGAATCATGTCTGCACGCCTTTTGAGGTCCTCTGGTCTAACACCTTTTTGAGACGAAGCTCCAAAGAAAGCTGTCTCTGGTGTGGACCAATCAGTTTCAAAGACAATGCATATATTTCGATTTAAAGCTTTCGTGACTGCAGGGATTCATATTCTTGGTTCTTTCGGTAAAGTCACGTAGAAGGGAAATAATAAAATAATACAAATAAAACAATAAAGTTGTATTGTTTACCGAAAGAACCAAGAATAATGCATATATTATCAGAGTATGTGTTTTGTTTGCATTCTGACCACAAGTATTGTGGTTAATGCAGACACGATTCCTTGTAAAAGTTTTCAGTTTGGTGTTTTAACATCTTAATACCTCTTTTGTTGCCAGAAACAAGGGGAAGCCCTATTCTCATAATCTAGGAAGCGCTTTCGAAGTTTCCCTCGAGCAAACGACCTTTCACCTGCAATACCAGGGCTGCGTCTTATAGACGCCGGCATGTTTTCACCAAATCAAAATGGAATGTCGAGAGCAATCATAGCAGGCAGAAGAATACAATCACTCCCAAGTTGCAAGCCGGGACTGATGTAAAGTCATGTTTAATAATAAATTGAGCATGTTACAAAAACAAGAGTCGTTGTTTTCAGCCTCGGCGCTTGTGAAAAAAACGGCATGATTTATTTTTGGGGAAATCGCACCGTAGAGCCCAACTATGGGTCACTGGGATTTTATATACTGCACTGTAAGTCTTGAAAAGACCATCAACTAACTTACACACGGAAGGATGTGAACAGCAATTGGGCGGCATGGGAAAACACATCTCGTTGAATAAAACCATAATATCTACACAGAGGTTTAACCCAGACTACTTTTATCGAAAGCATCAATATACATTTGATCCTGATGGCGGTAGCCCGGGGTACCAAATAATACAAAATGGCCGAGGCAATTAAATGTTATTTCTGGGACACTATTTTTTTCCAGGGTTGCACTTAACTCCGCGACTGGGGTTCCAATCAATCCGAAATCAGTGCTACTCTGCGATGTCGAAAAGCAGCGAGGACGATTGCGCTGAAACCCTGAACGCTCGTACACACCGTAGTGGTGCATCGTGAGTACAGCTCGTCGAGATGAGTCGATAGCCGCGCCGCCGACCATCAACAAACTAAAAATGACTGCATCACCGACATTATGCGAGCGCCGGGCTATGGTACCCCGGGGTACCGCCATAAGGTTCATTTAACAAAGCCAAGCATTCATGCAGCACTTTGTTTAAATCCCGAAATACATTATGTACATCCACCTACGCAATCTTACAAATTGACAACCACACCTCGGCTATGAACTTAAACGCGCTTAAGAGACTTAACTGTCAATTAAGAGCCATGTTATTTTTTTAAACTAGTAAATAAGAGAAAATATTTAGCCCAATTGGTTTTAAAGGTGGTCGGTCACACGTTCAAGTGATGATGCAGAACTAAAGATTTATAAAAAGTTAATTAACTGTATCCACAAACTAGCAACACTATTTATTTCATTTCAGTAAATTAGAATCACAAACACAGCTGTTAATAGCAACTCTCAATTCAATGACATCCAGTGTTACGGCGCAGCTTGTCTTCCTCTTGTTGTGTGTTGTGCAGACCTGGGAAAGGATAATGTCCAAAACTTACAGGAAGAAAATGTTCATCCGTGATGTCATTGCCAGCGAGAGTCGGAAATAAAACTCGGCTTTATAAAAACAAAAACATCGCTGCAAGAAATGCAATTCTCGATGCATCCGGTGTGTCCATATGATCGCAACAGCGTTTCTTTAGAGCAGTCCAGAATTTATAAAATACAAGGCAGCATGCCCTCCTCCTGCAGATGTCAAGATGGCGCGGTTGCGTGGCTCTCAATTATCATCTGCTTTCTCCTTCTCCTCTCTGCTCTTGCCCTTGTCCCGCGCTTTGGTTCCATCGCTCTCTTTGTTCCCGTCGCTTTCTTTGTTCCGACCCGCATCCCTGTCGCGGTCCCTGCTCCTGGAGCGCGAGTATTCGCGATCCCTGTCACGCCTCCGCTCCCTGCTCCGTGACCTTCGGTCTCGGTCTCGGTCCCGGTCACGGTCCCTCTCGCGCTCCCTGCTTCGAGATCTGTCCCTGCCCCTGTGCCTGTCCCGCTCACGACTCCTGGACCGGTCCCGATCCCGGTCCCGGTCCCGTTCCCGGACCTTCTCCCTTTCCCTACTCCGAGATTTGTCCCGTCGGTCTCTGTCCCTGCTCCTGGAGCGGTCCCTCCGTCTGTCACGAACCTTGCTTCGGGATCTGTCTCTCGCCCGCTCCCTGTGGCGGGGTTTGTCTCGCTCTCTGTCCCGGTCCCTCTCGTGGTAGTCACGCTCTCTTTCGTAGTACTCTCGCTCGTGGTAGTCTCGATCTCTTCCCCTTTCTCTCTCCTGCGGTTTCTCGCGCATTTTCTCTGGCTCGTTTTCTGGCTCCGTGTCCTTCTCAGGCTCTTCCTTGGAGACATTTCCCCCTCCCTTGCTAACGTCGGCCTCAGGTTCACGATCCTTGCCTACTACGAGCTCTTCTTCCTTCTCCTTGTCTCTGCCTCGATCGCGATCTCTCTCTCTGCCGTGTTCACGATGGCGATCTCGCTCCCTGCTCCTGCTCCGGTGTCTTCCCTTTCCTTCGCGATGGTGCCTGCTACTTCGGCCGTGTCTACTTCTGTCCCTGTCTTTTCCTCTTTCCCAGTCTCTGTCTCGATCGCGATCACGGACATGTTCAATTTCTTGATCTCTCTCCCGATATCTCTCTTTGTTTCTATCCCAGCCTCTTTCACCTTTTGGTCTTTCCCAATCCTCAGGAGTTTCTTTTTCCCACGGCATGCCCTCCTCTTCCTCTCTCGGAAACGTTTCTGATAGAAAGTGCTCCTGTTGATCTTCCGTCCTTCCCCATGATTCCTCAACATGTTTTTCAACCATTCTGTCATCACTGTGGGAATCGACTCCCTCTCTTTCCACATTTCGATTATCTGGATCATTGAATGGCTCTGGAAAATTAGGTCGACGACTGTGAGGCCCTTGCAGGTTAGGCTGCAGCAACGGCCCTTGAGGGAAAGGTTGCCCTGGCTTGTCATGCTGATGCACTGGTTGGAACCCTGAAGGTATCTGCCCTGGAGGATTCTGCAAAAGGGGTCGTGGAAATCCAGGAGCCTGGCGGTCACCTCCAGGAAATCTTGGTCGAAGGCCGTCATTTGGTCGAATGAGAGGGGTTGGAAGCAATGCCCGCTGTGGGCGAAATCCAAGTGATTGCTGGGGTCCAGGTCCAGGCTGTGACGGGTACTCTCTGTGTTGTCTGCTTCCCCTGTCCTGTGGGATTTCTGGAGGACCTTCCTTTTTTTGAGCATGTGCTGCGGGCAGACCCTGACTACGAGGTGGCCCTCGAGAAAAATCAGATCCCCATGGTGGAGCATCTGAAGGTGGTGTATTTCGTGATTCTAGGGGACCGTGATGTGCAGAAACTGGAACACTGCCAAAACCTGGGGGAGGTACGGTTGAGGCACCCGATCGAGGTATATGCAGCGGCTGATTATCAGGCATAATTTTAGGTGGACCTTGCTCTTGCGGTGGACCACATGGAAATCTGGGCGGCGGGCCACTGATGTGTCCTGGAGGTGGCCCCCTAACAGGCAAAGGGTTACTTGCATGGCCTGGAGGTGGACCACGTATGTGAGTTGGGGGGACACCAACGTGGCCTGAGACCGGGGGTCTTGGTGGTAACATATTGAAATGTTGTGGAGGTAGCGCCCCTGGTGGAGGAGGTGCACCTAGCTGAGGCATGCCATAGGGTGCCGAGTGCGGTGGGCCAGGTGGCCTGATAGCCATGTGGCTCGGAGGTGGACCCAAATGATGACCAACGGGAAGCCCATGCTGTTGTCCATGGACAGGCGGGAGATTGCCTAACTGTCCCAGTGGAGGGGCATGAGGTGGCTGTCCACTGACATGGCCTGGTGGTGGGCCTAATGGATGGCTGTTTGGAGGCCCTTGTTGAGTTGGAGGTCCTTGCCTATTGAACGGTGGCGGGCCCAACAGTTGTCCTGGCGGTGGGCCCAGAGGTGGTGGACCCACATGTCCAGGTGGTGGACCAAGGTGTGGTGGCATATTTGGTGGATGTCCAATCATGTTTGGTGGTGGAACAATAGGATGGGTCGGGGGTGGTCCATGAGGGGGTAGACCCATGTGTCCTGGTGGAGGACCTAAAGGATGACCAGGTGGAGGCACGTTGTGCGGCATTCCACTTGGATGACCTGGTGGCGGCGGCCTGAGGAGGTGAAGTGGAGGCGGCACCGAGCGTTGTTGTCCGTGGATTGTGAGTGGAGGCCCTACGAGGGAAACAGGTGGAGGGGCGTCTCTCGAAACATCGGGTATTGGTATTAGTAAACCCGATGGATGCCTGTCAGCTAAAGACAAATTACGCGAAGAATTGTCTTCCTCATACAGACTTTCTGTCATGCTTGTTTCAGGATCACATGAAGATAACCCGATGTCATCTTCAGAATTGGACTGCTGAGGCAGCACCGCTCTGTGGAATGTACTGATGGACTGAATGTTTTGTGGGGCATCGGAGATAAACGATGGTATGCTTTGCGCATCCATTTTTTGTTCAGACTTTCCACTTTCGGGTGTTGCATCTTCCTGTTCATTAGATGACGCACTATCAGCATCTTCAACGACACTTTCATCCTTCTTTTCCGAACTAATAAAAAGTTCCTCCATATCATATAAGTCATCTTTATCGTCTTCTTTAACCTCGTCTTTATCTTCCGAGACTTCCAATGACATCTCTTCGGTTTTATTTTCTGTAGATTCTTCGACAGCAGTATTATCCTCCTGTACTTTGTCAGCTTTATTTATAATGGGCTCTGTGTCTTGCGGAACCTCGGCAGTGCTCATTTCGTCAGTTGCTTCAGGATCCTTTTGATGTTCTATGGTATCTTCAACTGCAGGAGAACTTTCTTCAATCGCCTTCGGTTCCGAGACCGTTTCAGTCATCTCTGATGCTTCGGGTGTGGACACCTCTTCGACAGGCGTGTCCACTTTGTCCGTGACTTCAAGGGAAACTGCTGGCGGAAGAGGTAAGGCAATGGGCACTTCTACTTCTTTAGCTGGAAAATTCAAATCTACTTGCAATTCTTGAGGTTTGGCCTCAACAACTGATTTGACGTCAAAGTTTGACGAGTCGCTTGATTTTCCCACATCAGGCTTAACAGCTTCCTGGATTTGGAAAATTGGCAGTGGAATGGAACTCCCTAACTGGTTCCGGTTGGCTGCCTGTCGTGGATCCCGGCTTGCCATGAGGTATGACTGAGGAGCAGCTGTCTCCTTGATTTTTGGTGCTATGTCTTGCTCTCCGGGCAGGTGTTTCTGCAGCTCTCCCGATTTGAAAAGAGATTCAGGGTTTCCCAGTCCTGGAATCAGGCTTTCGAGTGTAACGTAAGGTGTCGTCTCTGAAACACGTTTTTTCTCATCAAATATGGTTTCATCTTCTGGATCGTATGCATCTTCTGGATCGTATGGTCGGTCATCATTTAATTTATTCACATCCGCAGCTCCACTGAAATGTTGAATAATTGAATCAAAACCACCTGCCTTGGTGCTAAATGGAAGACTGGATGAGCCCAAAGCAGAAAATGCCAAATTAATTTTTTCCTTCTCTGGCTCTTTCGGAGTCTCTTTGGGAAGCTCTTTATTGCCAAACAGCGTTTTCAGGATGTGCTCCAGTGGCTTCATCATTGGCTGCTGGGAAGCCGACGTAGTTGGCCGCTCTGAAGCTTTGTCTGAAAACAGCTTTGTCAGGAGGTTTGATTGAGCGACGGGCGGTGGCGGCGGCGGCGGTGGAGGAGGAAAGTCGGGCGGCGTCGTGCCAAAGTTCGTGTCCTCGTACTTGTGCCGATGTTTCTTGCTTTCCCTGCGCTGGGAGTAAGAGGACTCCCCGGTGTCGTACGAGTACTTTCCCTTCTTCTCCTCGGGGCTATTTCGAGAAGATTTTTCGTACTCGGCTCCGCCTTCGGAAGAATCTCCCTGATGCCGACGCTTGGACTTTTGCTTTATCACCAGGCCGAGCAGCATGTGTGATCGCGATGGTTCCAAGCCTGCAAGTCAAACACGCAATGAGGTTACGAAGTCACGGGCTTTCAAATGCATAAACTGTTTAGTCTTGAAATGCGCCAACAACTGCCTTGACAGAGGGAAGATGTGCACATTGGCCAATGCCCATTATTTATCAGGTGAAAGACACACAGATTATAAGCATAAGACAAATACTTGTACATCAACGTATTCCAATATAAATACGGCCAGACCTGGATCTTTGGAACTTCAACCTTTTAAGATAGCTGCTTTCGTGGTAATTTTCGACACTCTTATTGTGGAGATATGTAATATTGTCAGTGTGTTTCTAACTGGAGTCAGTGTGATTCTTTGGTGCATATTACAAAAAAACAAGGACATGCAATTCAAGTCACGTTTCATGAAAAGCTTTTATTCGAAAACTAGTTTTTGATTAAATAACAACCAGAATACACCATATGATATATAGGCATTACATGTCTCCAAACTTACCAACAACATCCATTAGCCTACACAGGGAAAGTGGCCCATTGATGTCCATTGTTCATGAATGCATCTCAATGCCAATGCACTGACATTATCTACTGACACAATCAGTGCAATGCCGTGCAGTACGAGACATTTAAAACGTACTTCTGCACTCTTTAGTTCCTGCAAAGTGCAATATTTTACTGGCCAATTACTTGCAGCATCCAAGAAATTACTGCAATGTCCCATATTAGTTGTCGATTTATCTTTAAAAAACGAGCTATACTGCAATCGCTGTTAACTACTGTATTATACTGGTTATCGTTGCTTGTAGCAGTACCTACTGCCATACCTTAGCACCAAGAGCATGGCGAGGAGACAGATGTGGCTACCGTGGCTTTGGGAATTCATCCCACTGTAGTCGTCTATTCCAGGAATGTAATAAACCCTCAACCAGTGCAAGAACGCTGCACAGCAATCGAAAGTGTGTATTGTTGAGCCACTTGACAGTGTTCGTAAAGAACACATCCAATTTTAATTTACGCACAGCCAAACCCGCTGCATGCATTCCTCAAAACTATATCAGTGGGCGCTTAACCGTTACAAGTTGCCAAAATATAGCTGCCAACGTAAACGGTCGTGTATAAAAAGCCCTGAAAGCTACCCCCATGAGCTGCCAATGCAATTGTAAAGCCACCCACGCAGTTCACACTCGCCCAACTTGAGCCATAGCAAACTTCTAAAATAATCTGTTCATTGATAAAAAAAAACTCGCAATAGTGCTGGACACGCCGAACTCTGCGCATCTCTCGTCATCGGGATCGACGCACGCCACCCCCACTCCTCAAATTCAACGCCAGGGCCCACGCACGCGCGTGCAGTACCTGTGCATTAGCCCAGGCCGGCCACCAGGGGGCGCCACTCAGTGCATTGTGAGAACGTTCTTCGGTCGAAGGTCTTGCACGAGAATTTCACTGGGGTGGGACGGCGAGGAGAGCTCCTGCAGAATGCCTTGCAGGAGCATTGAGGCGCTGCAGCACCTTTGGTGTGGGACTGATGTCAACGTGAGTGGGGTTTTTTTAAACCTATATTTTCCATACCGAAGTAACCTCTGACCTGCAAAGGTCAGGGCTGTGCATTCAATTACGGATTGCTGTACTGCTGCCATTTCCTTTTCAACTGCATGAATTTCAGTCACCAATGAAATGATTATTCCTTACCCAAGAACAAAATGTAACGTCTTCGCTACTTGGTAGAACTACCTTAAAAGTTATCCTGTGAACCTCTTTAGGTCACCGAACCCAATACACGACTGCAAGTGTGCAATTGGTACACCAGTGTAATTAAGATTATATCAATGGCATACTAGATTGACTCAATGTACTTCACGAGGCTGTAAAATGCCCCCTGCCAACTGTTCGTACGGTAATTCACACTTTTATTTTGCTAAAATGTATGTTTGTGTCACTGTATTTATTGACCAATGCGTAAATGGGGCCGTTTTTCTCACTCGATACATTCTTGAACGGAACGTGGCTGGCTTTGAGCAGGTATCAGCGAACGGTACTCCCACTAGAGTCAAGGTAATTTTCAGGCAAAATGAAGCGAGACGGATGTGGCGTGCCACAATAATTCCCGAAACAGCTTTGCGGACTGTTGCAGCCGCAATTAGGGCACTGGTCAACACAAACGCACGTCGACTCAAGCAGACACTGCACAAGGTCTCGGGGGCTCCTGCGTGTCGTGTTGCTCCAGACCAAAACTGGCGATCACCTCTGCATCGCGTGGCCACAGCGCAGCGAACGCGCCTGTTCCCCGGTCGCCCGAGGAAAGAGGTCGGCAGGTTTTGGTGGCTGTGAATCCATCGGAGATGGGGGCCCGTCCCTTCAAACTCGAAGCGTTGGCAGGTGGGCCAAGAGACATCTTTCCACATCGAGGTTCACACTGGTTGCTGTTGCCGCCCACGTGACAACGCTAACCCTGCTGCTTTCGTCCACCACTTCATGCGCCTACAGTATCACCAGCCGCTAAGTCAACCTTTCCCACAGTTGTAGTGAAATGCACATGTCCATATTAAACGATCAAAACAGCACGCAGTAGAAGTGTTCTTTAAGGCACTGTGAGATAATCATTCAGTGCAAAGTAACATCCACCGATATACAAAACCTTTTCAACGATGCAACACGACTATTTTCCAACTGCAGCGTAAGATGTTTGGGGCTTTTCTTCCATTGCGATAGCGTTAAAACGAGTTCATCTTGCTTTGCGGTAAAACATGCACGCAACACTGTGTGATGCACTTGCAAATATTAACATTAAAACATGTACAGTGATATCAAACACCCTCGCAACCTTTCAGGAAAAAACGAATGTGTGCAGGTGTATTTGAAATGTGAGGCGAGTGTCTAACGCACGTGTGAAAGTGTGTGTAGGACGGGTTAAGTGTGCGTTTTTGCTCCGCGGCTGCCGATACGGACGGGGCATTTCAGTAATCTGGCTGGAAAGTGAACCAAGGATCCAGTCTGGGGTCTCAAAACATTTATTTTGCACTGCAAAAAGAGAAACATTTCAACATTTACACACACAAAGCAACTGTACTCAAAATCTATACCGTAGGAAACGGCACACGATTTGTACCGAGATACTGAATCATACGTGGAAAGGTTTTACGATTAGAACATTTGAACATTAACAGAAACTCGACACCAACTTGCACGCACTGAAATCAAACGGCAAGCAAAAGTTATAATCAACATAAAGTTACTGCCATACAACAATACCCACCTGGAAAACAAACCATTCAGGAACAGATGAAAGAGGCTGAGGAAACATCTTGTAAAACAGCGTTTCCATATTTTAAAAGACTCATTGCAAAGGTTACCAACTTTGCCGTTTAGAGAAGGCAAGAATGCAAAGGAAGAATATAGGGCGGCATACTTTAAATCGGAGGTGTGCACGTCACAAGAACCTCTCGGGACGGTAATGAAACCCGAGGTTGAGCATAGAAAGTGCAGTCTTAGGAGGTTTGATCTGGGATAGAGATGCACCGGAGAAACGGTGAGCACGAGATGGTGACAAGAACGAGTGACTGGCTTACCGGGACCGTCGAAAGGCAGCAGCTGATGGGGGATGGGGTCCTGCGCCGCCAGCGGGATGAGGTACATGTCCTTGAGGGACCTGGAGGCGTTGCCCACCACCCCGTAGCGCTTGCGGCTGTTGAAGTAGGAGTACAGTGAGATGTAGGCGACCGCCTCCTCCTCCGTGGCTGGGTGGAAGCGGATGATGCACACCTCCTGGTGGGGGGGGTGTGGTTGTGGGCACAGAAACAAAGCAATGGGGGAAAAAACATTAAGGTGTGACACTACATGTTTAAATAAAGGTCTGGACGATTTCCCACAATGGCAGTGGTTCTAAGCACAAATTCACAAAAAACATGTAATTCGTCAGTAACACTGCCTTAAAAAAGGGAAAAAAGTCATAGGTGACATGAGTGCAGGGCTATTGCCCAAAATGTATACATTTACATATTTACATTTTTCAGGCCGTGTTACTGACAAATGTAGAGCATTTTTAAATGGGTTAAGCTGACGCTTAACAGGAAGTATAGAACATATCACTCCAAGTGTGTTTTTTTTAATACCAGTAAAGACAATAAATACTGGGCAATCCATTTAGATAACCCATTAAAAATAGAAAAAAATCAAAAGAAATCAGGTCCTATATACAACTCCCACCAATCTCAACGCATGTGTTAATATCTTAAAATCTCTCCAGAGACACTTTATCTAACATATCTTCCAAAATATCTAATCACCTGTTGATGAGGACCATTTGAAATAAGTGGGGTAATCTTTAACCGTATTTGCAGTAGATTGGCATCACAAAATAAAAAGTATTTTCGACGGACTCTAAAGTCGAGAATTTTCAACAATTTTTACATATAGCAGGTGAAAATTGGCAACAGCCAGCTTAACATGATAAACGCTTTGCATTTACCATGTTACAAGCTTTAATGCAGGTAAAACCATGCATCTGCTCACACATTGTCAAAGCAGATACTGCCAAATTCTAGAAGCACATTTGCCATGGCATGGATACTCAACATGAATGCAATTCAAACCGGATCACTCACATCAAGCGCAACGGCAGACACTCAAAAGTTCACCTTAGATGCCGAAGATTTAAGCTTGCCCACGTAATCCCAAACCATTTTTGCTAAGATTCTCCCTCCAACATGGATGGTGTCGGGAAGTTCCTGGATTAGGAAGGCATGAAAAGTTAGTTTAAAAAGAAATGCTTAAAATTACAATCAAAGACAATAAAACAATGCATATTCTGTGCATGACGAAACTCATCCACCTGGTCTCATTTGATCAAAGGCAAACAATGATTTCACGGTGGAAACTTGCATTTCCCGACATGTTTAAATTCACCCAGAGCCTTAAAACACTTCATATTTCAAAGAACAAAGCCTGTTACCAAAGGACATTATCATCTTACCTCAGCCACATTGGCCATGGATCCAGAAACTGGGTAGGCCTTGGCCACCACCTTGGCAACACCATGCATATTGATGAAGCCTTTCCAGAGACTATCCAGCCGTGCATTATTCTGTGGTTCAATCTCCTGGCTACACAGGTGCAGGCAATACAAAAGTGTATAACATAAAAAATACAATGTTTTCACTGCACAGCCGAACTGAAATCCAAACAAGATGTGGAAATGTATATACCGACGCACGATACCATACTGATCTTATCGAAGAGGCATGTTCAGTAGGCATGTAATAATTAATGCATACTGTCCCTCAATCTGTCATGATTTGTTGGTCGCAATTCAAGAAAATGCTGTAACGCTTTCCAACCAAGATTGAGAGCATTATGCACGAGCTGTCCCGTCTTTAAGTTGGTCCCATAAAAATGATCCAACATGACCATGTAAAACAACGTTGTGCTGCCATTATGGATTTGCACGAAAAAAAACGAACTGGTTTAGTTGAACAAAGGAGCTGCCCGTGCCCTCTCCGGCACAGCGACTACCCAGGCTCTGTGGTCCCACCGCGGATTATGGGTCACAACGCTTCCTGTGCGACTGGAATGAGGACTACATTGTCGTGAATTAAATGCTTCCGAGACCGGACGCACGTTGGAGAAAAAATGCACATGGAGAGTTATTCTTCCTTGTTTGCATCACCTTTGATACAATCTTGTTCATTTTGTTTCGTTTGTGCGTTGGTAGTCTATTTAGTAAGTTTTGTTCTGCCTGTCTTACTTGTTGTCTCATGTGCACTACCTTATTTTTATGTTTATTATATCGTCATATCTGTGCCAATACTTGAAATATTCGTCTGTACCGTCTCATTTGTACCATTTGTCTCATCATACCTCACTTGTTTTGTCTGTACTGTCACACTTGGTATGGTCTCATTGTACTCTCGTCATCTGTAGTTTGTCTTGCCCATTATTATCTTGTTTGTTCGATCTGTTTTGTTACAATGGTACCCTCATTAGTCGTATCTGTACCTCATTTTTGTCTCATCTGTACCGTTTATATTATACCACCTAATATGTTGTTTCATCTGTACCAACATATTTAAGTCTATTTCATCTGTACTATCGAGCTATTCAATTTTTGCATACATTAAATTTCTCATTCGAACCATTGGCCGAAAAAAAACATTTACATTACAATCTTCACAAAAATACATTCTTAACCCACATTTCAACGAATGTTTTGTGAGCATAAGAATCGATTTTTACAAATTAAATGAAACATTACATGCCTAATGTTCAGCACAAACAATGCAACCGAGACCTGCCCAGGTTGGGAAAGTTTAAAAATGATTTAAGACTTTAGTCAGGATAATAGGTTTAAAACCTAGCTTCTAAAGTATAATGCAGAGAAATAGGTTTATATTGTAGATATGACCGTGACATAACAACTCATCCAACATAACTCTTATGGCAGTCGACCCTATGTGCTTATCATTACTATGGCGCAAGCAACAGCAAATCAGCTCGACGTTTTGTACCAATCACCCGCAAACATCTGATACTTTCTTGCTGGCCACTATTTAAACTAATTCGGCACAACAAACATGTTCATCTTTGTGCACCTGGTTGGGTCGACTACAGTACACTACAAAATCTGGAAACATGCTACATCTGCATATATACTTTGTAAAACTAAATTGTTCATATCACACAAGTTTTATATTGCACGTTACTCTTAAACATTTAAAACATTGGCAATATTTGACCAGAGGGAATACTTAACTTTCCAACCTTAACACGGTTATCAATCCTACTACACCTCGTGTCATAACTGCATAATCAAAATAATTAACTTTCATTAAACCAAAACGTATGAAATACATTTGAAAATGTGCCGATTTGTTTCACATTAAACATGTATAGTATTTAACATTTAAAAACGAGATAATTAATGAAACCCATTCAATTATAAATGTCACGAGTATATGTAAAAGTGTAACCTTTACAATAGTTAAAGACCGGCAAAGTGTGAATTCATGCGAAATGGGAAACCATCCCTTTAGCAACAGACTGACAACTATGTGTTGAAGCAAACCTCAACTGTTATAATTAAAATTACCAGTATCTTAACATTACGTGTAAGTGCACAGTGTGAATTTTTTAAACACTATAAATATACCACATCCCACACTAACTTAAACGGGTAATAAGTTGCATGTGACTGCAGCACCTGACGACAGGTACAGAGATGATCGGGGGAGACTTGACAGGCTCTGGACTGGCTGATCTCTCCTCCTTTATCACTTCTGCAGCGGAGGCAGGAAGGGGCGCTGCTGTGAACGCCACCGAAGTTGGTGAAGCCGAGCTGGACTCTGGTGTCCCTCCAGACACAGCTGCCGGGACAGCTACAGGCTCTGCAGGCTCCTCTGGCGAATCCTGCATTGCCTGTGTGGAAACCTGGCTCGTTGGTGTCGCGATGGGGGAAGAAACGTCCGCAATCGGTGTAGGTTCGGCTAGAGAGTGGGTGGTTGGCCTGTCCAATGTCGAGTCGGTTCTCTTGGTGGGGGAAGCGCTACTGGCTGTTGGCAGGGAAAACTTGACTTTTTTGGCCGTCGTCTCCTCACTCGGTGGCGGCATGCGGCCTGCTCAAGACATTCACACACACAAACACAAGAGCCAATACAAGTCAAGACAATGACCATCTGACCAACACCCAGGCATTATAAATTAAGGCCCATAAACCGGTGACTAATTCTATAAGAAGCCCATACCAGAGTGCTTCTTTATAACCATGTACCAACTTTTCGATTTAAAGCTTTCGTGACTGCAAGGATTCATCTTCTTTGGTTCTATCGGTAAAGTCACGTAGAATGAGAATAAAATAATAAATTGATAAAATAAAATAACACAATATTCTCACGACGTTTCGGCCACAACACAAGCGGCATTCATCAGGTGAAGGGACGAGACTGTCTGGAGGACAACTTTGCCCCAAGAGTGGGTGATTTCTTTCCAAAAATGAAACTAAAACGCCTTGATAAAACTGAATTGCAAGATTGTGGTAGTTGTTTTAGGCTGTTCCCGATTTAACTTTTCATATTACTTGCAATACCGCACTTTGGCCATAAGGTGGTGCACTACGAAGATTAACATTGCAAAAATATTGTCACTTTTACAGAGGTCAAAATAGGGTATTGTTAAGTTTATCAATACCATACATCCCTGGTGCCTTACAATAAAAATGCGCAATACCCCAGCCTCTCGATTAATATTACTAGAACGAGTGATGGACTTACATGGAACAAAACCAGAAGCATTAGATTAGCAGTATGGAGGCAGATAACTTGGCAATGTGACAATCCATGAAAAATGTTTCATGATTAAGCTTGACTGTACGTAGTTGTCACATCAAGAATGACAAAAACAACAAATTGTTTCCTTCTCCAGAACTAATTTATCAAAGTAAAATTAACTAGTGTAAAAGAACTAAAAATATTACCAAGACATGATTGCAATTGAAAATAACATTGTTGTTCATACGTAGATGCCTTTAGGATGTCTAGAGGAAGCGATGCATGAAATACTGTATATCCAGTGTTTGGCGATTGGGTAGAACAGTGAGCACGAGTTACCTGAATTGTGGACGTCATGGGCATGAGGACCCACACACCTCCATTTACAGGTAGGATAATTTCAGAACATTGTTGGGATGAACAAAAATCCCATAATTTTGCAACTCACTAATTTCCATGGCGTTGGATTCAGGCTTTGATATACTTCCATTAAGTAAACATTATTTAGTTATTCAACTGCTGTTCACTGAACATAAGCTTGCCATAAGTATTCTAATTTTTCTAAATTCATAGTCTATATTATAACAATCTGCCAGAAATATGTGCAATGACATAAAAAGTCAGACTATGCAAAGATGGCATTGTATACCGTATTTTCCCGCATATAGCACGCATTAGCATATAACCCGCAGACGTATATACCCCACAAAAATAGCGTTGTGCGCAAAACAAATTTCAGATAACCCGCACCTCCATATACCCCGCATGCATTCATATCTTTAAACGTCGTTACCGCAGCATAATTCCATCATATTAATACGTTTACAATTGTAATACATTCCACTATCAATTGTTAACGTTAAAATCATAACGTGCACAAAGAAAACAAACTAACCGGAAATGAAGTAACAAAAGTAAATATCCGATAAATAACTGGTAGATAAGTAAGCGTACTGTTAGGCTTACCTGCATTCGACCTCATCATATTACAGCTACTGGACCGGTAGTTACCCCTGTACAGTTTTAGCACCGGTAGATTGCGCAACAGCTACTGGACCGGTAGTTACCCCTGTACAGTTTTAGCACCGGTAGATTGCGCACTGCGCAGACAATAGCGGCACTACGGTAACGCCATTGCCTCCTGGCAACAAAGCCATTGGAAGTTTGAAACAAAGCTCATGGTCGTGACTGTATATTGCTCAGCCAATAGCAGCGGCCTAAGGGACTCAGCAATTATGATTCCGCGTCTACCAGACGCTTGTTAAGGCCCTTTCCATTGTGCAATCCATAGCCTCAGCTGAAACTTTCGCACCCCCTACAGCCACACAAAGTATTACGGTAAACAAAGTGCGCCCACTTCAAACATTGTCGTTTCATTGTACAAACAATTCGAATCATTTAAAACGTGATAACATGTGCAATTTTAGTGCGAGTGGTTTATTCAGCAGTGCTTTAGTCAAAGGTAAGTGTTGCATAGTGGATAGTCCTACCATTAAAAAAATAAACAAGTTATGACATACCCCGCAGGGTCTTGTTTTGTTTGTAAAAAGTGGTATACCCCGCGAGTTATATGCGGGAAAATACGGTAAACACCATGCCATCACTTACAACATACCAATAAAATGGGTAGAAGCCATTTAACTAAATTATTGGTCTTCTTTGGTTCTTTCGGTAAAGTCACGTAGAATGGACAGGACAGCGCTGTCCTCCAGACAGTCTCGTCCCCTTCACCTGATGAAGGCCGCTTGTGTTGTGGCCGAAACGTCGTGAGAATATTATTGTGTTATTTTATTTTATCAATTTATTATTTTATTCTCATTCTACGTGACTTTACCGAAAGAACCAAAGAAGATGAATCCTTGCAGTCACGAAAGCTTTAAATCGAAATTTAAATTATTGGTTTTAATTTTTTTCTCCAGCACCTCTGATTAGCACCATTGGCTACATACAGTGCGAAAAGAGGTTCAACATACATATTTGCTCAGAAATAAAATACAAAAAGTAACAATAATCGATAGCTATAATGCACCACCAAGTGTATGCAGACTGAAAAAGGCATCCGTCTCGAAATGTACATGTGTGAGCTTACCTGCACATATGGAACACTGAGTAGATTCTGTAATGTGTGGCAGGCAGGATGTGTGACCGTGTATTATTAATGATGTATGTGGATATCTAGGATACAGGACAATCTCGTCGTGACCTTCAATTATTCGCGATTTTACATTTGTATACCTTCCTCTTTGGTTCTTTCAGTAAAGTCACGTAGGTAGAAAAAAAATAGATCACGACATTTCGATCTCTGCACAAGCAACCGTCTTATGGGAATCATCTTCTGGGTTCTTTCGGTAAAGTCACGTAGAATGGGGATAAAATAATAAAAATAACGGAATAAAATTCTCACGACGTTTCGGCCACAACACAAGTAGCCTTTACATCATTAGACCTCCTTTGCCAGTACCAAAATGTAATAATAGGGTTTTTCCCCTTTTTTCTGGCAACAAAACTGAAACCTTTTTTACAAGGATTCATGTCTGCATTAACCACAATACCTGCTGTCAAAATGCAAACAAAAAACACTATAATATATGTATTGTCCTTGAAACTGATTGGTCCACACCAAGGGATGTTTTTTTGTTTGCATTTTGACTGCAGGTATTGTGGTCAATGCAGACATGAATCCTTGTAAAAAGGTTTCAGTTTTGTTGCCAGAAAAAAGGGGGAAAACCCTATTAATTACAAGTAGCCTTCCTCAGGTGAAGAAACAGGACTGTCCGGAAGACAGCGCTTGAGAGCGCTCCACTCAAGCGCCGTCTTCTGGACAGTTCTGTTTCTTCACTTGAGGAAGGCTACTTGCGTTGTTGCCAAAACGTCGTGAGAATTTTATTATTTTTATTTTATCTCCATTCTACGTGACTTTACCGAAAGAACCCAGATGAATCCCTGCAGTCACGAAAGCTTTAAATCGAAAAAGTCTTGAGGGAAGTTCAACATACATCACTCCCACCTGATGACGATTGCTTGTGTGGCGATCGAAACATCGTGATCTATTATTATTTTTCTACCTACGTGACTTTACCAAAAGAACCAGAGTATGGATTCCTACAGTCACAAAAGCTTCAAATCAAGATTTGTATACCAGTTGAAGTTTCACACCTTTTTCCATCCACTAGTCGCCATTTTACGTGGTGGAAGGGTACTTGCAGTGGTGGATCACGCCCCCATGTGCTTACACGAAGCCATTGTGTAACTCGGACTCGAAGCACTCACACACAGTGCTGGCGCGCAGTGACGTCACCGCATGCATTTGGCCGTCCGCTCGTCAAGGACGTGCCCTACGAACGCCTCAATGGCGTGATCATTAACTTTCCAGTGACCATGACTATTTGTGTCGATATAAATACAAATTCCAAAATGACAATGTATCATTTCTTTGAGTATATGGGTGTTATTTGTGTGTACAATACAGGATAAATGTTATGAAACATTTAAATTTTCTCCCATATTTAGTCGGACAAGGGAACCTCGCCCCCTTTACCCATATATCTACATTCGCAAATTCTACTTACACACAGATTTTAGCGAATCTCAAGGGATTACCGTATAGATTTGTAACTATATGGTTTTGAGTATGGAAAGGGATGCAAAAATATGTATGGATAGGTAGCCAATGTATATGGTGTGAATGAATCTGTATGCACGAGTATGTTTGTGAATGTACAAATGTATCTATAGTAATAGGTTTTATACTTTTAACTGGCACAAAAACTGACACCTTTAATCAAGGCATCATGTTTGCAATAACCACAACACAAGCAGTCAAAATGCAAACAAAAGATACAACTCTGATAATATGCATTGTCGTTGAATTTGATTGGTCCACACCCGAGACGGCTTTTCTTAGAGCCTAGTCTCCACTGGTGTTGGACCAGATGACACCAAAAGGCGTACAACTTAAAAACAGCGCACTATCAGAGTATTGAGAGCTCGGGGTAAGCCTTTACATTGAGACCTCCTTTGCCAGTAACAAGATATAGTAATAGGTTTTTACCCTTTTAGCTGGCACAAAAAACTGACACCTTTATACAAGGGATCATGTTTGGAAGTCTCAATGTAAAGGCTTACCCCGAGCTCTCAATACTCTGATAGTGCGCTGTATTGAGTTGTATGAATTATGGCTTCATCTGGTCCAACACCAGTGGAGACTAGGCTCTAAGCAAATCCGTCTCGGGTGTGGACCAATCAAATTCAAGAACAGTGCATATCATTATCAGAGTTGTTTCTTTTTGTTTGCATTTTTGACTGCTTGTGTTGTGGTTATTGCAAACATGATCCCTTGTATAAAGGTGTCAGTTTTTTGTGCCAGCTAAAAGGGTAAAAACCTATTACTATATCTTGTTACTGGCAAAGGTCTCATAAAATATATGTATCTGGTTATGTATACAGATGCATGTTTTTGTAGGACTTGTAATATCACAAGAAAATATTTTCACTATAAAACATAAATATATAGGGTCTCCACAAACACTGTAACATAAGGTGAGATTTCACTGTATAGCAATATTTTACAAAACGAAATATTATAAGACATATCGTACAATGTATCATATCGTCATTGAAGCAACCTTAGTCTTAGGTACTGGATGGAGCTTGATACTGATTACTTAAAATTACCTTTTCCTAAAGTTGACAACAGTAGTTATGGTTAAGCCCCAAGCGCCTTAATCGCAGGTTATCTACTACACCAGGGGTCGGCAACCTGTGGCTCTGGAGTCGCATGTGACTCTGTAACGACTGCTTTGTGACGTTATCAAGGACCGCCTCTCGTATTCACATGCATTGCGGCTCTTGAATTATTGAGTTTTTTTTACCGAATTCCAAAAAAATGGCTCTTGTTGCCAACCCCTGGACTACACAGCCATTTTGTATTATCAAATTTAGCAAAGGTAAGGTGAGATGAAGCCTGTACAGTTCAATGGGCTGGACTTAAAAATATAGCAAAGCTTCTGGGTTCAAAACAGGTGTTGTATGCAGAGTATGGTAGGAATTTCATGGAGGTAAAAGGTGGAAAATAACATGTCATGACGGTAGGATGGCAGTTTACCGAGGTAGCCAATGAGTTGTACTCGGCAGAGGTCCACGACCTTGGGAAAAGCCAGATGGTGGGACCGTGTAATTTACAAACATTGGAAGTCAGGTGTTGACTTTGAAACTCTAGGATTTCGCAGGAGGAAGTGATGAAGTGTAGCGACACCAACTTCGTGATGACTTCTTGAACTCTCCTTCTTTATCGTGGAAACTCAGCAGTTGCTTGAAAATTAGCAATTCAATATTATTTTTAAAACTAAATCATTACATTTGGACCATATCCCACAATTCCATTACTCGATGGCACACCCGATGAGTGCCAGCTTGAACCTTACCCATCAATCAGTAAAAATGCGTTAATTCATAAATGAAACGTGGGTGCCGTGTTTTACTCTTCGCAGTCATGTATGCATATAAAATAACTCAGGCAACCAGAAATGCATGAGTCAAGTTGTTCAAGCACTCCATATTTGTGCACTGTCATTGAAAGAACAAAAAACTAGCTCAAGCGCAATAACCGAATTAACTATTCCAATAATCCTCTTTATAAAGCAAAGTACAGGAAACCTTGAGTCCTTGAGGACATTTCCCAGATTAAATACGGTTTATATTTATAAAACGGCAAGGACCACTGTCCAGAGAGCCTGGACAGTGCTGGATGGGTGACCACCATGCACAAAAAAACAATATAGAATGTGGGCAGCAAAGGGCAGTTCAGCAATTCCATTGATGTTGTGTACTCTCTCCGCACCTTCACCAACCCCGCAACATACTAAACAGCGTGAAGGTCAAATATCTCTCATGGGCTGCAAGGCGTGGTGGAGGCACACCACCTGGCAATGCACTGATAAACAGCTTTTCATATGGAGCCCTATATTGCATGAGTGTAGAGGGTTTCCATTTTGCTGAGATCCATCACGGTTACCTGTGCAGATTTTACAATTGAGGTCAAAGAGATGAGCCTTGTGCTGGTCAGTGGTGTCGGTGAGCATGCTAGACATGATGTCGGCCTTTGCAGTCTCAGCCTTGCAGCCCTCAGGAATGCTCTCCTCTGCCTCCTGCAGGCCACACACCAGGTCATCAGCTGGTGTAAAACAGCGTGCAGCGCATGGTCCTACATGACACAGCATAGCAGTTACCGGAAAACTCAAACGGGGGAAACGTGACAAAGGTCAACCTCAGAGTCAGGATGTGGAGGACTCTCCTCCATGTCCACCTCCACCTTGTGCCGATGCCTCCGCTCCGATTCCCACGACTCGCGTTTCATCATCTGGACAGGACCAACACGTACATTAATGTTTAAATGCCCTCTCTAAAGATATGCTACGGCACCAAAAATAACAAGGCACCTATGTATTTATAAAGCTCAGGAAAAACGTCCAAGGAGAGACATCTTACTTTACTGCTGTCCCTCTCCCTCCACAAGGCAAGCTCGCGAGACGCCAGCTCCTCAGGGCTCAAGCGAACCAGGCGAGGCGCCGTCATGTCCCCCACCAATACGCGCCGGAAGAGGCCCTTCATACACAGTGCAGTGGTAATCGTCAGCCACTTAATGCACACACACCAACAAGCAATGGGGCAGCAGCTCTGTGTGAAATGTGTGAAGTTAGACTCCCAACCTGGTTCTTGGGGTCCTTCAGGTTGAGGATAAGGCCACGGACTTTGCCCTTGTAGCGGCTGTCCGTAGCCTGGAAGAGCAAGAAGAGCTCCTTCTCGATGCGCCCTGCCACCTTCACCAACTCCTCCTCTGCCACAGTGAGGTCGTCCGAGTCGCTGCACCTGTTGTGCAACAGGGCAGGTTGCAATCAATGTCCCACACAGCAGAACGTCCAGCAAAGGTGCAGCCCTGCAATGTCTTGCTCATGTCACTCTAACAGGAAAGGCCTCTGTTAATAGAAGCTCTAGTGAGCAGCTCAACAGTGTATTTGGCACTCTTCCACATCTTGGAAGAAGTGGGAGAACCCACATCTTACCCCACACCATGCAACCTGCCAAGTGACATTTACACGCAAAGGTGCACCGAGGTGGGATTCAAGAAAAGTGACATTTGTTTCAACAGCCACATTAGGAGCTTACACTGGTGACATCTGCATTGCAAGTCTAGTACATTAACTTTTAAATTATGGCAGAGCCTATGGTGAAACATTCACAACCCAAAATCCAATATGAAATGAAACTGTTTGCTAAAAATGCAAGAAAGATATAAGAATAGTGCTGTGAAAAAACTACACTGACAAAGGTCGCTGACAACCAAAAACATAAGTGAAACATTTTAGTCTATAGTCCTGCAGGGCCACATCAACGCATGTTCACACAATTTGTTTAAACCGGCAAGATTGGGATAAACATTGATTCATAAAACCCAAATGCTAAATTAGCAAACGTTATTTAATGCTGGTAAAACATTATCTATTAAGTCTAACCCGTATTATACCAAATAAATACATATTTCACGTTTTACAAGATTATGAACCTTAACATAGCTTGCTATAACGGCAAGTGAACTATTCTGTACAATGGAGCCTCCTCGGACAAATATATGCACGTAATATATATCAAGTTGAAATGATTGAGAAGCACCAGCCTATATAATTTTCAAATTAAACCAGTTTGGCAAATGTGGTCTTTTATTTCAACTTTACAAAATAAAGCACTGATGGCTCAGCTAAACATCAGCTGTGTTTCAAGTTACACGAACATGACTATTTACCATATTCTTGGTTCTTTCGGTAAAGTCACGTAAAAGGGGAACAATAAAATAAAAATATAAAACAATAAAATTTCACGACGTTTCGACTGCAACACAAGCAATCATCATCAGGTGTGAAAACCACAGCAAGAATTTTATTATTATTTTATTGTTTCCCTATCTACGTGACTTTACCGAAAGAACCAAGAATATGAATCCCTGCAGTCACGAAAGCTTTAAATAAAAATTCTTGACTATTTACCGTTTGGCAAGAATATCCTTGAGTGTCCTTCGAACATTCTGACGGATCTGTTCCACAGATGGGTGGTTCTTTTGGTGGCTTGACGCTGGGTGGCTGCCAGAGGGCCCTACAGTCTCCTTATGCAGTATTTTCTCTTTGGAAACTGAGCCAAAAAAACATTTCACGAAACACATTTTTTGTATTAAGGCATATCTCATTTTAAATTGCAAAGAAACACAGCAGTGGACCAGATTAATTGAAATGTAGCTCAATGTATGAAAACATTTAATTTGTATCTCAAATATAAAATGTGGTTGTCCCCATCCCATTGTCTGCTTGTCGTCAATGATCAATCAAGCATGCCCAAGTCTTCCTGTAAGTCCGTCATCACTAAAGGTCATGTGACCATCACCCCAAACCCTCAACCCCCCCAATGGCCAGATTAGAATTCCTGATGAATGCTAGACTAATTAGCATGCTCAGCTCAGGCAAGCAGGGTGGAAATATGAAAGTTATGTCAACAGGAACATTTTTAACGTTTAGATATCAGTCCATAATTTGTGAACGTGTGGTGCAACGCGAAGTGTCAGGTGAGTGATAAATGTTGTGAGTTTCTGGTGAGCAGCATCAGGCGTGTGGTGCAAGGCGAGTGAAATTGTCTGGTTTTAGGTGTCAGTTAAGTGGTGATTGGCAAGTGGTAAATGTGACGAGGGTGTAATGCACGAGTCGTACTCAGTAGTTTCTGTGGTCAGGTGAGTGGTGAGTGGTCTCCTTGGTGGTGACTTAGCAGGTGAACGTCAGTCGTGAGTAAGATGAGTGTCAGGCAAGTGTCACGTCACCCCTTCAGGCCTATTACTAAACACAGATTGGGGTAATGATGCGAGAAAGAATATTTTTAAATGAATCGGGGTATTGATTACTGTAAAAAAAGTGTATATTTATCCATTATTTATGATGTACCTTGATGAGATGAAGAAGTTGAAGCTACTGCAGCCTTTTCTATTTTAGGAGTTGTGGAAGCAGCTGTTGGTTTCTCCATTTTGATTCCTGGTGTTCCAGCAACAGACTTATCTGGCCTGAATATTGTTTTTGCAACTTCGTGCTTTAAGACCGTTTTACTCGCCTCTTGTTTGACAACCGTTTTACCCATCTCATGCTTGACAACTGGCCTAAAACCAGGTTTAGACGTTTCTAACTTGGTACCTGGTTTATAAATGTCTTGCTTGATCAATGTCTTAGTAGCTTCTTGTTTGACAACAGACTTACCAATGTCATGCTTCATGAGTTGCTTAGCATTGTCTGACTTCACATTTAACTTGCCTTCTACCTTAACAAACGGCTTAAATGTTGCTTGCTTCATACCCGGCTTTACAGTATGTTTAAGAGCATCTACTTTCGCTGCAGCTTTGGCCACCTCTGCAGCCGAATGTTCCTGGGATCGTTCTTCTGATGCAGTCCTTGTGACTGAAGCCTGAGGATTTCCTTTTCCCTTATCTGTGGGAAGAGACTCTTTGGCTTGTTTGGAGTCCTTACTTGCTGCCGCCACTGATTTTTTAGCAATCTTTCCAGCCTTACTCTTCTGAAAAACAACATTTAACACATCACAAAATGGTAAATAAACGAACTAACTTATAATATCCGTAAATTGAAATATATAGATTAATACACCATTGCGTTAACCCTGGATTTGATTAAGTAAGGTATATTTTAACGACTGAACAAAATGTGCATATCTGTGCCAAAATGTACCTGTGTGGAACTCTCGTCAGCTCTTGCGGACCGAAGTCTGGACTTGGGCGTTTTTTCGTGCTTCGCCGGGCTCTGATCCCGGGACTTGTCGAGCAAACCTTTCTTTTTCTTCTTGTTTTTCTTATCCTTAACTTTCCCTCCTTTACCCTTGACAGCATCTTTGCCTTTGACCTGTTGTTTGGCACCATCCTTGCGCATGCTCTGCAGTGCGGCGGCGGCGTGCTTTAAGATGCATTCGTTGCTACAGTACACCGAGCCAGCTAGGGCATTGTTGGAACACTCGACAACAACACACTTCTGCGAGACTGATGCGGGTTCCGGCTCATGCGGTGCAGGCTGTGTCTCTTTTTCCGCGGGTTCCGAGACTTTTGCCGACCGCTCCGATTCCGTTGTTGCAGGTTCTGATTGTTTTTCTGCCGGTTCAGGATCCTTTGCAGCAGGTTCTGGGTCCTTTGCAGCAGATTCTGGGTCCTTTGCAGCAGATTCTGGGTCCTTTGCAGCAGGTTCTGGGTCCTTTGCAGCAGGTTCTGGGTCCTTTGCAGCAGGTTCTGGGTCATTTGCAGCAGGTTCTGGGTCATTTGCAGCAGGTTCTGGGTCCTTTGCAGCAGGTTCTGGGTCCATTGCAACAGGTTCTGGCTGCTTTGCAGGCTTTAAGAGTGAAATACACCACATTTCAATCAGATTATCATAATAAGCTGAACAAGCACCCCAAACAATTATCCCACCATTCGAGGCCCAACAAATTGTAATGCAAAATAACTGAATGCTATCTAATCATACAAATAGGAAAATCAAAAGTTTCAACATATAATCTGCACACAATATGTTCAAAAGAATAAAAAGGCAGAGACGGTGAATTACACATTCCTTACCTCTTCTTGTTGTATCCTAATTCTTGGCCTTTTAGGATCCAAAGGTTCAGTTGCTTGCTCTAGTTTTCCCATATACTTTTTGGAGTCCCCAGACTCCCCTTTTGATGCCGGCTTTGCACTTAGACCAGGACCTAGCATTAAACAAAAGGGTAGGCACAGAAATCAAGATTAAACAAGTAAAAACCCAGATATGTGAAAAGATTGCTCTCTCATGTGCTTTCAACATGGCATTTGTAACAAGATAAAATTTTGGTGAAATGCTTACTCCTCTGTAAAATTAAAGTAGAAAATGCAAATTAAAAACAACACGCATGTATACCTTTCGTATGTGGGTCTTCATCATCACTCTCCATAGGACAGCAGCGCGGACATAAATAAACCTTGTTGTCCTTTTCCAATTCAAGTGCCAGCTCCACCGTGAGGCCCACACAGCTGCCGTGAATCCACTCCTCACACTGCTTGCACAACACTTGAACTCTGCACAATGTAAACGGGGGCATTTCAATTTTCACAAATGAACGCACGCCAAATTCAAAGTGCAGTGCTTCAAAGAAAAGCCGACTGTAAATTATATGGTCACAAGTTAAATGCAGCTAATGCTCTGGCGAATATGCTTACCTGTCAAAATTATTTTTCCCACAGATGCACCCAGTTCTCTTTTGAAAGGCGTAGTCGTGATCTAACAGGTTCCCTGTACAGCCAAGTGACTGATTTTTGTCATCAGTGTTTGCGTCTTCAGCAGCAACTATTGCTACATCTTGCAAACCTTCATTTTCAGATTTGTTTTGATGTTTCACATCATTAACTTTGTTATCATCAGCGACTGGTGTTGAATTTTCTGATGTGACTTTGCTTTTTTCAACCACAGCTCCCAAACGGGCTTCCATTTGTTGCTGCTCCAATTTTTTCTTCCTTAACCTCTCTTGCAGTTCTTTGAGAGGAAGATCATCTTCACTACTTCCACACATGGGCTTCAAAGCAGAATCTTCCTCTTTCCTCAGAATAGCAGTCGGCAGAGGTGTTAACTCTATTTTGGCAATTTTATCTCGACACGCTTTGTTAATGGACATTTCAGAAAAGTAACTTGCCGCTTCTTTATTTTCAGACATCACAGTATCCTTATCACACCTACTAGAGCCTTTACTATCACTACTCAAGTCAATTTTGTCTTTACTTTCCTTCACGGGAGAGCCAGCTGTTGACCTGCTCGACGTTGGCGAGCTGCTACCAGAGTTTGCAGGGGAACCAGACGATTTTTTACTCCGACTTTTTGGGGCGAGGAAGGCCTGTACATGTGGCGAACGCTTCGTCGACCGCCCACTGCGCCTGGGCATGATTTGTAAGGTAAAAGAGCTGCGTCCCCGTGTCATGGGCTTCTCCTCTTGTGAATCGCTCAGACTTTCGCCATCACGCTGTGCCAGGGTGCTTCGTCTGAACCCCCACGTCTTTCGCAATTCTTTTGCTTTCTTTTCATCCTCAGTGTTGTCTCCCTCTTCCTCCACACCCTCGTCGTTTTCTGTCACGACAAAATTACCACTTCAGCTATGCAATGCACGACACGTGTAACCTGGAAACAATTTATGAAAAATTATTTGCGCTTCTTCATAATAGTGTCATGTTTATGATACAGAAGCTTAAAATTACCTTCGGGCTGGGAGGCAGTTTCTTGAAGTTCACTTTCTGATCCTCCGGAAGCATCTCCTCTCATAGACTCCAGCTCTGCAGGATCTTTTGAACCACCGACAGGACTACCACTTTCAAGCTTATTTTCTCTACCGTCAGACGCTTGTGAGTTCACGTCCTCAGTAGCGCTCTTCTCTGCATTCGCAGAAACCTGGTCAGTGCTCGTCACTGACATAAATTTAGCATCAGATTTGTCAGTGTCTGCCATAATAGTTGCATCTCAATGCTAAACAAAAACAGAGGAGAAACACAACTCTTGATTTTGTCTACGGAAAAACCAGCACATGCTTAAAATACGCATCATTAACAGCTAGGATTCGCATCACACTTGTAGTATTTGCCCAAATTAAAATCTTTATACACAGTAAACAATAAATGCCACCCACTTGAACATGCGCAATTCATGCAAAGCAATTTATATATGGCTAGAATCACTATAAAATTGCTAACGGGAGGTCATGGTGTGGCTCAGATCAGACACCAGCAAAGTGAACTCTCTTGATCGAATCTGGACAGTTAACATTGATGAAGCCGGGTTAAAATATGGAACGAGTTGATTGATCGTCTCCAATGACTGCACAAATAAAATCTAGAGTAAAGATTAGCCTTTTCCAAGTGTTTGTCAAAATTGGCTCGCGTAAAAAAAACACTACTAAGCTGTGTGGAAACGTGCACCACGTTATTATAATAAATAAATGGGCACTGTACAAGGGATTTTGAGATGTTTTAAAATATCTTCCAAAGCCACTCGGGTCACGGATTCGTACTGCTGAGATTATCGAGTGAATTATATCTCAAGAATTAAAGGCGAATGCACCGCGCGATAAAATAGGGATGACCAAAAACAACGACGCTTTCCATTACACATTACATAGGAACTCCATTACAACGCATACTTTTCCAGACTCAAGAGCATTTTACGAGGTACAGTTCATTGCAGTGAAAACATTAACTTTTAATTCGACGCTGCCACGAAGTTGGCATATTAAGAACCCCAAATAAACATTTGCAATTTGAAACACATCCGCTCCGTGGGGCGATAAAAAGTATACAATTGTTTAATCATCCGCTTTAGTCTATCCACTGCTGGATGAAGGCCTCCCCCACACCGTCTCAAGCCCTCAAGGACCATTGCAACTTGCATCCATGTCATTCCACCGCATGTCCATTCAGTATCTCATCGCTCTATCTCCGCGATAGTCGTCCTATTGGACGCGTTTTCTCCATTGGCTACCATTCACAAATGTTGTTTTTTAAGTATGCTAAAATAACTATCGGATTAAACATTAAATGTGGTGACTTTTGTTCAAGTAAATTAGTTTTTACGATAATGCGTGTCATTGTTATGCGAATGTGTCGCAGCGTGCAGTGCAGTACAACATACTGTATGCACTCCCTGAACAGTGTAATGTAAACAAACAGCATACCATATTAATAGTTCAACTCAGAAGCCGGCTAGGCATTTCATTTAAATAAATCAACACGCACCACCAGGTATAAACTAAGACTTCACAGCCCAATGGACTTTACCTACCTACCCCGCTCCACCATGCGGAGTTATCAAAGCCTCGCACGAACACTGGGAAAAGCGCCATCTTACTCCGCGTGGGAGCCCCCATAACAAGCGGGCTTGTTATCCTCGTGGACCACGAAGTTATTTACCCAAACACCACAATAAGCAAGGAAATGTACGAATACAAACCATCGAAAGCAGCGAACTGCGCTATAAACACTAGGTCGGGGCCCCAATGACCATCGCCATTTCCACTACCGCACGACTTCACACGCTCCTGTCTCTCTCTGCCTCGACGAGGCTGCATTATGGCACAACATCCAGACTCGAGCACTCAAAACGCCAGCTGAAAGAAACACACGAATAGAAAGGCGACTAATGTGCAGCCACTGCACCGACCACAGAAGCTTCGCGCTCACCCTCGCATCGTCCCAGGACGCTCACGAGTGCCGGGGCTGCCCGCTGAGAGGGAGGAAAACTTCGGTAACAAGACCGCTCTCTCAGGTGAGAATGGTGAGAGTCGCCGCGTGAAGATGAACATTGAATTCGGAAACCCAAGACAGCGGTGCTTCAACGGGAGACGCCCAGTAAGGGTGAAATGAAGCCCCGATATTAAGAGTCGAGTGAGGCGGAAAACCCCCCAAGGGAGCAAGGGGGAAAGACCCTGGAGAGCAGGATACCCCGCTGATTAGAGGGAGCGAGCACAGTTCGGGGGAGCGCGGCGTGAGGGCCGCGGGGAGGACGGCACAAGGCCCAGGCCTCGCCTGAGCACACACACGAGCAGCGCTCACGCCCCCGCGACGAGCGGGTCAACCCACACAACAATCGGCCCGCGCATAGAGGTTACGACACGTACGTCGCGAACGTGAACTGTGCTCGGGAAACACGACGACGACGACGGGCGAAGTTTACCGCGGCGAAGTCGTCTTCTCAGGCGTGAAGTTTTGTTTCTTGGAAGGAGACCGCGAGGCCCAGGCGGACGGTAATCAGCGCGAACCGAGAGCCGCCATTTCGAGACAGTCACGTGACGCGGCAGAGGGGCGGGATCCAGGGGGATTGAGCGGCGGGGCAGTAGGCGCCCCTGAGGGGAGGGGCCACCGGCGAGGGGAGGGGTCCGCCCATGATTGGAGGAGATCGCCTATGAGGGGAGGGGCCCCTCGGAAGGGAAGGGATCCGCCCATTAGGGGAGGGGCCCTATGAGGGGAGGGGTCCATGATGGGAGGCTGCAGAGTCGATGGGCGGTGATTCCATGCCATTGAGTGGTAGTAGTGTTGTGGTAGTAGGGGTGTTGTAGTGGTAGTAGTGGTGTTGTAGTGGTAGTAGTGGTGTGGTGTGGTAGTAGTGGTGTGGTAGTAGTGGTGTTGTAGTGGTAGTAGTGGTGTTGTAGTGGTAGTAGTGGTGTGGTGTGGTAGTAGTGGTGTTGTAGTGGTAGTAGTGGTGTTGTAGTGGTAGTAGTGGTGTGGTGTGGTAGTAGTGGTGTTGGTGTGATAGTAGTGGTGTGGTGTGGTAGTAGTGGTGTTGTAGTGGTAGTAGTGGTGTTGTAGTGGTAGTAGTGGTGTTGGTGTGGTAGTAGTGGGGTGGTAGTGGTAGTAGTGGTGTAGTGGTAGTAGTGGTGTTGTAGTGGTAGTAGTGGTGTGGTGTGGTAGTAGTGGTGTTGGTGTGGTAGTAGTGGTGTTGGTGTGGTAGTAGTGGTGTGGTAGTAGTGGTGTTGGTGTGGTAGTAGTGGTGTGGTAGTGGTAGTAGTGGTGTAGTGGTAGTAGTGGTGTTGTAGTGGTAGTAGTGGTGTGGTGTGGTAGTAGTGGTGTTGGTGTGGTAGTAGTGGTGTTGGTGTGGTAGTAGTGGTGTGGTAGTAGTGGTGTTGGTGTGGTAGTAGTGGTGTGGTAGTAGTGGCGTTGGTGTGGTAGTAGTGGTGTTGGTGTGGTGTTGTAGTGGTAGTAGTGATGTTGGTGTGGTAGTAGTGGTGTTGGTGTGTTGTTGTAGTGGTAGTAGTGATGTTGGTGTGGTAGTAGTGGTGTGATGTAGTAGTAGTGGTGTTGGTGTGGTAGTAGTGGTGTTGTAGTGGTAGTAGTGGTGTTGGTGTGGTAGTAGTGGTGTGGTGTAGTAGTAGTGTTGGTGTGGTAGTAGTGGTGTTGGTGTAGTAGTAGTGGTGTGGTAGTAGTGGCGCTGTAGTGGTAGTAGTGGTGTTGGTGTGGTAAGAGTGGTGTTGGTGTGGTAGTAGTGGTGTTGGTGTGGTAGTAGTGGTGTGGTAGTAGTGGTAGTAGTGGTGTTGGTGTGGTAGTAGTGGTGTTGTTGTAGTAGTAGTGGTGTTGATGTGGTAGTAGTGGTGTGGTGTGGTAGTAGTGGTGTTGTAGTGGTAGTAGTGGTGTTGGTGTGGTAGTAGTGGTGTTGTAGTGGTAGTAGTGGTGTTGGTGTGGTAGTAGTGGTGTTGTAGTGGTAGTAGTGGTGTTGTTGCGGTAGTAGTGGGGTGGTAGTAGTGGTGTTGGTGTAGTAGTAGTGGTGTTGTAGTGGTGTTGGTGTGGTGGTAGTGGTGTTGGTGTGGTAGTAGTGGTGTGGTAGTGGTAGTAGTGGTGTGGTAGTGGTAGTAGTGGCGTTGGTGTGGTAGTAGTGGTGTGGTAGTGGTAGTAGTGGTGTTGGTGTGGTAGTAGTGGTGTTGGTGTTGTAGTGGTGTTGGTGTAGTAATAGTAGTGTTGGTGTGGTGTTGTAGTGGTAGTAGTGGTGCTGGTGTGGTAGTAGTGGTGTTGGTGTGGTAGTGGTGGTGTTGGTGTGGTAATAGTGGTGTGGTGTAGTAGTGGTGTTGGTTTGGTAGTAGTGGTGTTGTAGTGGTAGTAGTGGTGTTGGTGTGGTAGTAGTGGTGTGGTGTAGTGGTGTTGGTGTGGTAGTAGTGGTGTTGGTGTAGTAGTAGTGGTGTGGTAGTAGTGGTGCTGTAGTGGTAGTAGTGGTGTTGGTGTGGTAAGAGTGGTGTTGGTGTGGTAGTAGTGGTGTTCGTGTGATAGTAGTGGTGTGGTAGCAGTGGTAGAAGTGGTGTGGTAGTAGTGGTGTTGGTGTGGTACTAGTGGTGTTGTCGTAGTAGTGGTGTTGATGTGGTAGTAGTGGTGTGGTGTGGTAGTAGTGGTGTTGTAGTGGTAGTAGTGGTGTTGGTGTGGTAGTAGTGGTGTTGTAGTGGTAGTAGTGGTGTTGGTGTGGTAGTAGTGGTGTTGGTGTGGTAGTAGCGGTGTGGTAGTAGTGGTGTTGGTGTGGTAGTAGTGGTGTTGTAGTGGTAGTAGTGGTGTTGGTGCGGTAGTAGTGGTGTGGTAGTAGTGGTGTTGGTGTAGTAGTAGTGGTGTTGTAGTGGTAGTAGTGGTGTTGGTGTGGTAGTAGTGGTGTTGGTGTGGTAGTAGTGGTGTTGTAGTGGTAGTAGTGGTGTTGGTGTGGTAGTAGCGGTGTGGTAGTAGTGGTGTTGGTGTGGTAGTAGTGGTGTTGTAGTGGTAGTAGTGGTGTTGGTGCGGTAGTAGTGGTGTGGTAGTAGTGGTGTTGGTGTAGTAGTAGTGGTGTAGTAGTGGTAGTAGTGGTGTTGGTGTGGTAGTAGTGGTGTGGTGTAGTAGTAGTGTTGGTGTGGTAGTAGTGGTGTTGGTGTAGTAGTAGTGGTGTTGTAGTAGTGGTGCTGTAGTGGTAGTAGTGGTGTTGGTGTGGTAAGAGTGGTGTTGGTGTGGTAGTAGTGGTGTTGGTGTGGTAGTAGTGGTGTTGGTGTGGTAGTAGTGGTGTGGTAGTGGTAGTAGTGGTGTAGTGGTAGTAGTGGTGTTGTAGTGGTAGTAGTGGTGTGGTGTGGTAGTAGTGGTGTTGGTGTGGTAGTAGTGGTGTTGGTGTGGTAGTAGTGGTGTGGTAGTAGTGGTGTTGGTGTGGTAGTAGTGGTGTGGTAGTAGTGGCGTTGGTGTGGTAGTAGTGGTGTTGGTGTGGTGTTGTAGTGGTAGTAGTGATGTTGGTGTGGTAGTAGTGGTGTTGGTGTGTTGTTGTAGTGGTAGTAGTGATGTTGGTGTGGTAGTAGTGGTGTGATGTAGTAGTAGTGGTGTTGGTGTGGTAGTAGTGGTGTTGTAGTGGTAGTAGTGGTGTTGGTGTGGTAGTAGTGGTGTGGTGTAGTAGTAGTGTTGGTGTGGTAGTAGTGGTGTTGGTGTAGTAGTAGTGGTGTGGTAGTAGTGGCGCTGTAGTGGTAGTAGTGGTGTTGGTGTGGTAAGAGTGGTGTTGGTGTGGTAGTAGTGGTGTTGGTGTGGTAGTAGTGGTGTGGTAGTAGTGGTAGTAGTGGTGTTGGTGTGGTAGTAGTGGTGTTGTTGTAGTAGTAGTGGTGTTGATGTGGTAGTAGTGGTGTGGTGTGGTAGTAGTGGTGTTGTAGTGGTAGTAGTGGTGTTGGTGTGGTAGTAGTGGTGTTGTAGTGGTAGTAGTGGTGTTGGTGTGGTAGTAGTGGTGTTGTAGTGGTAGTAGTGGTGTTGTTGCGGTAGTAGTGGGGTGGTAGTAGTGGTGTTGGTGTAGTAGTAGTGGTGTTGTAGTGGTGTTGGTGTGGTGGTAGTGGTGTTGGTGTGGTAGTAGTGGTGTGGTAGTGGTAGTAGTGGTGTGGTAGTGGTAGTAGTGGCGTTGGTGTGGTAGTAGTGGTGTGGTAGTGGTAGTAGTGGTGTTGGTGTGGTAGTAGTGGTGTTGGTGTTGTAGTGGTGTTGGTGTAGTAATAGTAGTGTTGGTGTGGTGTTGTAGTGGTAGTAGTGGTGCTGGTGTGGTAGTAGTGGTGTTGGTGTGGTAGTGGTGGTGTTGGTGTGGTAATAGTGGTGTGGTGTAGTAGTGGTGTTGGTGTAGTAGTAGTGGTGTAGTAGTGGTAGTAGTGGTGTTGGTGTGGTAGTAGTGGTGCTGTAGTGGTAGTAGTGGTGTTGGTGTGGTAAGAGTGGTGTTGGTGTGGTAGTAGTGGTGTTGGTGTGGTAGTAGTGGTGTGGTAGTAGTGGTGCTGTGGTGGTAGTAGTGGTGTTGGTGTGGTAAGAGTGGTGTTGGTGTGGTAGTAGTGGTGTTAGTGTGGTAGTAGTGGTGTTGTAGTAGTAGTGGTGTTGGTGTGGTAGTAGTGGTGTTGAAGTCGTAGTCGTGTTGCAGTAGTAGTGGTGTTGTATTAGTGTGGTAGTTGTAGTAGTGGTGTTGGTGTGGTAGTAGTGGTGTTGGTGTGGTAGTAGTGGTTTGGTAGTAGTGGTGTTGTAGTGGTGTGGTAGTAGTGGTGTTGAAGTGGTGTGGTAGTAGTGGTGTTGTAGTAGTGGTGTTGGTGTGGTAGTAGTGGTGTTTTAGTGGTAGTAGTGGTGTTGTAGTGGTAGTAGTGTTGTAGTGGTAGTAGTGGTGTTTAGTGGTGTGGTAGTAGTGGTGTTGTAGTAGCAGTGGTGTTGTAGTAGTGGTAGTGGTGTTGTAGTAGTTGTAGTGTTGTAGTGGTGTTGTAGTGGTGTGGTGTGGTAGTAGTGGTGTTGTAGTGGTAGTAGTGGTGTTGTAGTGGTCACAGTCACTTTAAGATGTTTTTCTTGTTCGTGTTTTTTGTTTGTTGCGGTTGCACCCGATTCAAGAGCCGAATGGCTCACAGGGCTATACCAAATAAATGGAACTATGAACTATGTAGTAGTAGTGTTGTAGTGGTGTTGGTGTAGTAGTAGTGTTGTAGTGGTAGTGGTGTTGTAGTGTTGTAGTAGTAGTGTTGTAGTGGTGTTGGTGTAGTAGTAGTGTTGTAGTGGTAGTGGTGTTGTAGTAGTAGTGTTGGTGTAGTAGTAGTGTTGTAGGGGTAGTAGTGGGGTTGTAGTGGTAGTAGTGATGTGGTAGTGTTGCATTAGTAGATGTGTTGTAGTGGTAGTAGTGGTGTGGTAGTGTTGTATTAGTAGTGGTGTTGTAGTGGTAGTAGTGGTGTTGTAGTGGTAGTAGTGGTGTTGTAGTAGTGTTGTTGTAGTTGTAGTCGTGGTGTTGTAGTGGTGTGGTAGTGGTGTTGTAGTAGTAATAGTGTTGTAGTAGTAGTAGTGGTGTTGTAGTAGTAGTCGTGGTGTTGTAGTGTAGTAGTAGTGTTGTTGTGGTAGTGGTGTTGTAGTGTTG